GTCCCTCGCCGCTCCGCCGCCCGGCCTGCAGTTCCGCCGCCGCGGGGCAGCCGCGGGCCACGCACTATCGCCTGGTGTACACCTGCAAGGTGGGCGGGGGCGGTGCCGGGAGGGCGCTGTGTGAGGGCCGCGGCGGGGCGGGCTGAGGTAAACGGCTCTTCCCGGAGGAAAGTCCCCGGTCCGGGGTGGGCCTCCGCCGGGGTCCGGTCCAGCGGAGAGCGTTAGTCCAAAGCTACGCGGCGTCGTGACAGGATCAAGCCGCCTTGCAATAGTCAGAGATGAGGGAGGGGGAAGGAAGCCTTTTAATCAAGTGAATAAAACGTTTTTCTCTTAGAAGGCCCGGAAGCTGCAGTCACCATGGTCATAAAACCCATTTTCTTTGCTTTGTAGGTCTGCCAGACCCGATCAGCAAAAACAATTTCCAAGTTAGCCTACCATAACGGGGTGGTGATCGTGAAGTGTCCCGGCTGCGGGAATCACCACGTCATAGCCGATAACCTGGGATGGTTTTCGGATCTGGAAGGAAAGAGGTAGGTGTGCCAGCAATGCTCGTGTTTAGCAAGGAAAAGGAGTTGTAAGGGGATCCTCCCGAGCTGATACATTATTTCTTCGATGCTTTTAAAATGTGGTTCAGAGAAAACCAAAGTTTTTGCTGGGTATAATTCAGTTTCATCCAGTTTCTTAAAGCACGCAAACTGAACTTTATAATCTGTAATTTGAACGTCACTACTTAGGATCTAAACAAACGCTGTCAAGCTGCAGCAGAAGCTGTGTGATACACAGGCATCCTTGTTGGTGCCAGCAGGTGAATTACTGGGTGGGGGGGTTCTTCTGTTCTCCCTCAGGCTTTATTAAATCACCGCTAGGTTTCCCTGGCTAGGCTTTTCAAATGTGTAGACTCATCTGCTGCTGAATTTCAATGATTTCTAACTCCCTTAGATAACTTAAAAAATTTCTGTTTAGCTGTAATTGCTAAATTATTGATCCTAATGGATGAAAATAGTCCCAGAAGGTTTGAGTGGTTTTATCTGTTTCCCAAAAACTTTATGGAGAAATACCGTGGTGGTGCTCATGGTGAGTCACTGTGTAGTGTTAATCCTGAGAGCAAAGCATGGAAGAGCGAGCCTGCGCTTGACTGTTAGGTCCGGCCTTTACTGTGGTGTCACTGTTGGCTTTCAAATTGCTGTTAAGGAATATCGAGGAAATCCTGGCAGCCAAAGGGGAGAAGGTGAGACATGTGGCTGGTGAGGAAGCCTTGGAACTGCTTCTGGAAAGCTCGATAGATACTGGGTCTCAAGGTCAGCCCACAGAGGGAGAAAGTGGGGAAGCCCCCCCAGAGACTGACAGCAAGGGACAGACCTGACGAATGGGATTTACGTTGTTCTGCTGATGGCAAGAGAGACTCTTAACCTTTATTCCCTGATTTCAATGGTCTGTGTTTAAAATAAACTCGGGCATTGGTCTTTCCCTGTTGTGTGTCTTTGTCTTGTGTAGTTTTGCCTTTGATGAAGCTAATGTT